CACACAAACACACACAAACACACACACAAACACACACACAAACACACACACAAACACACACAAACACACACACACAAACACACACACAAACACACACACACAAACACACACACAAACACACACACAAACACACACACAAACACACACACAAACACACAAACACACACACAAACACACACACACACAAACACACACACACACACCCACACACACACACCGGCCCAGATTCAAGTCCCATCACAATCTATCAGCAGAACCTTTTGTCCACTCCTGTCCTCTTAAGTTTTTAGTTGCACGCCCAACAAAAACAGTGGTTCATTTTTGAAATTGGGCGTGTTGGTGTTATGGTTTTTTTCTACCCAGGCATGATGCCAGGGTTTTTTCCTGGGCTCCATTGCAGCATTTTGGGCAGGGTTCGAGCAAGGGAGGTAATGCATAGTAGTTTCCCCGCCCCCCCCTTTCCTAACCCAACCCCCTGCATGTGGAAGAAATTGTGTGTAGCTGAATTTTGGGTAGGCAACCGCAATGTGATTTAAAAATGTGTGTTTGGATTTGGACCGTGACTTGGGGATTAGAGTTTGCAAGCGTTGCCGCAACAGAGCGGCCAAGTTGAAATGACAATAAATTTGATGTGTGCAGGAAAATGGCGCGGCCCTCATAGTTGGTTGGTGTTACTCCCACAGTTAGAATTAGAACCTTTGGCATGAAAGAGGTTCGAAGTTTGGAGGGTTTTTGAGGTTCTAATCGTGAGGAGTGAAAAAAATTGGAAAAATTGAGGTTCTAACTTTGAGTCCGTCAGTATAAATTTCTTCGCACAACCACTGGTGGGGCCACAGTAAATGCACCAATGAGCGTCAAAAACTTCAAACCCGGGAACGTGTCGAACTATATGAGGCGCACACTGCCAGAAGGACCGCGTGAACATATGCCTGAAAAAAATGTGAACCAACAATAAATTTCTCACAGTAAATCCCGGATGAAATTCATATTATGTGGCCGATTTGGTGTATTGCATGATGGAAACCCATCCGGATTCCAAAAAAAAAATGCAAAAAATTGAAGATCAGAGAAAAAATGTAGTCCAGGATGTCAAACATGTAAAATGTAACATAAATCCTTATAGCCTTGTTCCTGTCCACATTGACCATGTGCATCTATATACAAACTCGTTCTCCAAAATACATACTCAAGTTCCCAGTTTTTCATCCCACCTTCAATGGGATGCTGAATTGTAGCAAAAGTATCCATGCCCCAAGCAAACATATGCGATCATTTACCCTTTTGATTTTTTTTGATGATTGCTTGCGTGGCTAGACATCAGTCCTTTTGCATGAAACAGAATATTGTTTCAGGGGGTCGTAGTTGGCAGCGGTTTGAGGTTAGTTCATGGCAACCTCCTACGTGGAACATTTGACATTGAATCTCGTTCGTGTGCGTCTGTCGGTAAACATGCGGGTAAGCAAATTCATCAGCATCGTAAGGGTGGGCGATGTATTGTCCGATTCCCGTCCAGCGAGTGCATGGTGGGCAGCTGGAATTGTTTCCAAACACACCGCAGCACCAGACGCTGTTTGTTGTTGACCTTTTGGATATTGCTTTAGCATGGGATGGTATGCAATACATACTTTTTTTTTTGGGTCAACACAGCATTAACAAGCCTCCGCAACATTGCACGGAGATACCCATCACAGGGGCTGGCCAGCATCGAAATAAGGAGAAAACGTATTGCACGAGCTACTCCTCGGTTGCTGACGGTTTGCGCTAACCAGCAATAATTACAACCACCACCCAATACAGCATCAGTTTCGGCCACACCAACTTTCAACGAACATTTTTGATTGGGACAACACCTATCTCGTCGCCCAGTAAGCGAGCCGGGCGAACCGCGGGGCGCTCACCTTATGACCATTTCTCCGAACCATTTTCGCCAGCGCACAGTAATGACAAAACATGCCACATCCCCAAAACGCCCAATGGCAACAGAGAGAGCAAAACCGGTCCAGCAAAAAACGAGGTTTCAGGTCGGAAACTGTCCGTTCACAAGGACAATGCAGCCGACAACAAAGACGCAATGAACACAGACACATTTATCGGTGGTGTAAGTGTAAATTGAACATGCTATGCGGAGCAGGGGGGGACAATCGGGGAAGTGGGTTAGGCGCGCGACTGAAACCTTTCCGCCCTTGAAAGACGCGCGTCTAGCGTCACACACCGGCCTGTAGCAGGAGGAGCACCGCAACTTCAACAAAGCCACTGGAACACAAGTATCATTAACATTGCATATGGTTTCAAAATCACAATCGTCACCTTCAACCCCCGCTCCCGTTTGAAAACAACTATGCGCAGACAAATTCTTGATCACATGCGCAGCGACAGCAATAACAGCCTGTGCATGCAAGAGACAAAACCCAAGAACGCACAACCCAGTATGTAGGTTAACAATTTTTCATGACCGCCAGACGGTCAGCACTGTGAATACGAAACCACCAAAGTATGCAGGCGTAGGCTTCCTGTTGTCCGCACAGCTAATAGGAGGAAGAAAAAAAACACCTACATACGCATCTGCCGCAGAATGCCCGAACTGAGGATGAACGTCGAAACCCCTTCTTAAAAAAATTGAGTTTCAACGGCTTATTTTCCAAATTGCTCGCAAATGAGCTGTTGTTGTGTTGTGGACTTCAAGTCATAGCTTCAAGAAAAATTGAATGGCGAGGAGGGTAGGTACGAAAGTCGCGAAACATTGAGTGTTTCCAATGATTTATGGCTCCGGAGGGCACAGCTTTTCGTGCATCCGCTATCTCTCAGAAACGCATTTCGTGAGAAATTTCCTTCAAAAACTGAAAACTGAAGATGTGAAAACGAAGCTTTCGTGCGCGACTTCTCTCGAAAAGTGAAAGTGGAAAATGTGAAAACGAAGCTTTCGCGCGAGACGTCCCTCAAAAAGTGAAAGTGGAGGCTGTGAGATCTCTTGGCTGTGAGATCTCTATATATATAGGTATATATTTTTCTGGTATTGTTAAATGAAATATTAAATATTATGTTTTATTATTTGTATATACTATATATGTATACATTGATTGTATTGTATTTTTCCCCAACAGCATAAGCTAATGGTGTGTCTTCAAACCAAGAACAGCTCCGGTGTCAGGTTCAACGAGGTTCCGGAGAAGGTTCCGAAGGTTCCGGAGAAAGTCTGGGAGGCTTTGGTGCAGAGCCAGGTCAGGTTCAACAGGGTTCCGGAGAAGGTTCCGGAGAAGGTCCGGAGAAGGTTCTGGGAGGCTTTGGTGCAGAGCAAGGTCAGGTTCAACAGAGTTCCGGAAAAGGTTCCGGAGAAGGTTCCAGGAAGCCTGGGTGCCAAGCCAAGTTGATTTTATTATATCAAGAATTATCATTTGAATTGTATGTCATAACATATATAAGATTATATAAGTATATTATATTATATCCTTTGTTATTTTACATGTTATTCTTTTCTTTTTCTTTTTTTATATTTTATACTCTCTATATATATATATATATCTTTTCTGTAATGTCGCTGGTTTCCACGCATCTGTTATCGAGTCGAGTCGTCTCTGCAATCAAGATAAACCAACGCGTCATGTTCTTTCCTGCGGGAAGCAGAACAGCGGGAGGGTCTGGCCAGCTGATCTTGGAAAACTACGTGTTCCAGCACACGATCTGGGGCCCAACCTCTCGTGGAGCAAGTGCTAGCTTGCTCCCAAGGCCTCCTTCTTTGCCAAGCGGATCCATGTTGACTGGCAGGCCGGCTACAGCTGCGGTCCGTCGGCGTGCGTGTAACCAGAAGTGGAAACGAGACATAAGGTTTTATCACGTATTGCCCACAGGCCAAAGCATCTATGAACTGGATGTTTTCAAAACCTCGGCACTTACCACCCTTTTGTTGACCCGTCTCTTTTGTGGATGTCGCTTCAACTTGGGGGGAGGACACTTGTGGCAGACATGCATGTGTATTGTCTGAGCAAGCGATCAGCACGCCTTGGGCGCCATGCGGACCAAACGCGCCGACGGAACCAAGCGCGCCAAGCGGACCAAGCGTGCCAAGCCACCCAAGTGAGCCAAGCGCGCCAAGCGAACCAAGCGCGCCAAGCGCCCCAAGCGCCCCAAGGGACCCAAGTGCGCCAGGAACACTTCAACAAACAACAGTCTACACTGGCCTACATCCAAGCGCGCAACCAAACAGATCCAAACAGTGCACAGTCTCGAAAGTGCCTTTCCTGGAAAGGAGTTTAGCGAAACATTATTTGTTTTTTTATTCCTGTGCGTTGATTGTAGCGAGAGTGCCATCTCCAATCCAGGACACATCATCTTGACTTACCGTGAAGAAGCGTCAACGCGTCAACGGCTTCTTCTCACCCAGCATTTCTGATTAGATGCGGCTATGGACCAGCGGCACGTGCACACACACACACACACCGGCCCAGATTCAAGTCCCATCACAATCTATCAGCAGAACCTTTTGTCCACTCCTGTCCTCTTAAGTTTTTAGTTGCACGCCCAACAAAAACAGTGGTTCATTTTTGAAATTGGGCGTGTTGGTGTTATGGTTTTTTTCTACCCAGGCATGATGCCAGGGTTTTTTCCCGGGCTCCATTGCAGCATTTTGGGCAGGGTTCGAGCAAGGGAGGTAATGCATAGTAGTTTCCCCGTCCCCCCCTTTCCTAACCCAACCCCCTGCATGTGGAAGAAATTGTGTGTAGCTGAATTTTGGGTAGGCAACCGCAATGTGATTTAAAAATGTGTGTTTGGATTTGGACCGTGACTTGCGCCTGCCACGCGCATGGAAACTGGTATGCTTGCATGTGATTGTGACGCGGTGTATCGCAGATAGGTAAAACGTGACACTGCGGTGGAACCAAATGTGGACACGTGGCGATTTTTTTATCTCCGCATTTATGTGATTGACTGATTAAGTTGTGGTTGCAAACCTATGTGTGTGTGTGTACACCTGCATTTTTATTTCAAAGTTTTTTCTTCCGATTTTCGGCGACTTGTGAAACACAAAGTTGCCCTTGCCCCAACATTCCCATGGCAGCAGCGATCCAGCGTCGAGACTTGAGCACTGTATGTGCAAGAAATCGGCAACGTCGGCCACAGACAAATTTTATTCTTGGTGCGTGCATTTTCACGGTTGGTCACCTGGCGGTAGCGTTTATTGGCCCACTGCGGTGGACCAAGAACTCTCGAAATGCCAAAATGATCAGAATGGAGGCGGCAGACTCTCGGATGACGATGCCTGCCGGTGCAATCATGGAGGTTGCATCAAACACGGGACAGCTTTCAACTTTCCAAGTGGTCGTGGTTTTTCTATGCGCTGCAATTCCTGTGCTTTACTGGTGGTTCGTGATCGTTCCTTTCAAGAGACGAGAGCTGGCAACCAGCAAGGCGCGTGGACCAATGAAAAATTATTTAGTTGAGTTGGCAGCCACGCCTCAAGAGGAGCGGAAAGAAGAAAAATGGTTTTATGACAAATATTTACGACAAGGTAAACTTGTTGAACCAAGAACTTCGGAAGGATTGGCTGAAGTCGTGCAAAGTGTAGAGGATGAACTGCAAGAAACTCTTCCTGGGGGCGGATTTTGGAGCTTTGACAATCCAATATTTGTATGTCTAGTCTTGTTGCTGGTGTTTTGTGTACAGCAAGTGCTGCTTCACGATGTGTTGCAGAAGTGACGAGAGCTTCATCCATCAATGGTCTAAAAGTTGAAATTGCTGCAATTGCTATTTGTTAATTCTTTTTAACCCCCAGGTGCAGGCGGGTAGCAGCTAGCAACTATTATCCAGTTGGAGAAAATTTGCCATCCCTGCTGAATGTGTCACAGAATTGTTATTTGTACGTGAGTGAGAAACCACATCACCCGTCCTTCCATCAACCAGTATGCAAACATGACATTTTTGTAAGGGTTCTGCAAATTACTATATAGACAAGGAGAAAGTAAGGAATGGCGGTACAATTTCCGTACATGCGAACAATTGAAGGATGGTTCCTGTAGCTTTCATGGCTGAGAGCGGTGCCATAACAGTGACAAACTGGCCCAGCCGAGTCCTGCTCAAAACCTGAGGGGGATGGCTTGCATTCGACCAAGCTGACAAAGTGCGGCATCGGTCGCAAGAGACAACAGCGGTAAAGCCTCTCGATGGCAAATTTTAGGCATTATACGTGATTTGCTGATTGAATTGCATTGCAACCTTCAAAGAGTTGACAGAACAGAAAAGACCTACTTGATAGGATCGAAGGAGAAATCTACCACTTGCAGACTTGGGGGCATCCTGGTGGCCAAATTGTTTTAGGAACGCCACCTGCAGTGCTGACGTTCGTTTCACGCTTGGCCAATTGGCCAAGTGAACTACGTAGCCTTCGTGCTATGGCGAGTGTTCCTCCGAGCCTGTTGTGCTACGGCTTCAAAAAAAGTGTTGTTTATACTTGTTGTGCGTAAAGGTGGCAAGATAGAACAGTCTTGAATACGTTTGAACATTCTCCATAAGGAGTGTCTACTTGGCAGTCCTGCTGGACAAGATGGGGGCTATGATGGTGCTTCCCTTGCTCCCCTTCATTGCCAGATCGAGCCTGGTAGAAATATGAGATGACAGTGAGGAAACCGCTTGAACAACCACTTGACACACCTTCTAAGTGCCTTGCTCTGTATTGAGTGACCATCATCAGGGAACCTGTGACAGGCCTCTTCTTCCTTGTTTGCCCAGGATGAACGGCTCGTCTCTTGCCGTTGGCCTGTTACAATCCCTGTATAGCTTGATGCAGGCAAGGTCACCTCCAAGCTGAAATGCGCTTCTGCCCGCTTCTGCTATTCATTTCTGTCAGGTCTTTGGAACGCTGGCGCTCGGCATGCTGGCTGACACCTGGGGAAAACGGCGGTGGGGCCGGCGCTTTGGATTTTTGTCACTTGCTATCAGCGATGCCAAGGATCGAACAGTCACGAACAATTTATGTCAGGATACTGCTCTTGAGTCTCTTCAGTTCGTCCGTGTTTCTCCTGGCTTGTGGTCTGGCCGCGCCAGCCTTGGCATTCAAAATCAGGGTTTGCAGACTGGTAGTGCCTTAGAGTCCAGGAGCTCAAAACCCCAGGTGTCTTTGTCGCAACTGCTTCTATTCCGCGCGGGCCATGGGTTCTTTGCTGGAACAGCCACTTGGCTGCATAAACTGATAAAAACTGCATGAGTGCATTGGTCCTGGTCGTTCTTCTGCTTAGTCTGCGTGGTGCATTTTTTGGGCAATGAATTCTTCATTTGGCCGAAGAAAATGCTGTTGCTAAGGTGAGCATTTGTCAAGCCATTGCTGCGGATGTGACTCCGTCAGAGGCAGAGGGTTCTCCTGCATCTTCAAAGTCTGATTCGTTTTAAAGATTGTATTTTATATGCCTATATATAAATATATATATATGCATATATGCATATATGACTTTAAATATCAATATAAATGCAACCTTACTAAATATAGATATGAATATAAATAAACATATATATATATATACAGATCTAAGTCTAAAAATGAATAAGTAAGTAAATAGATAAATAGATAAATAGATAAATAGATAAATAGATAAATAGATAAATAGATAAATAGATAAATAGATAAATAGATAAATAGATAAATAGATAAATAGATAAATAGAATAATAGAATAAGATAACTATAACTAGAACACCGTGCCTTGATCAAGGACAGAGTTGGGAAAATGGCGCTGATCATGGCAGCCTATGGCGTGATCTCCTCAGTGTTGATACATGGCATACAGCATACCTGCCTTTTGCCATTTGTAGCCACTGCGGCAACCGTCGCCAATGTCGCCACTGTGTTGGCACTGGGTGGCCAAAGGTTGGCGTTGTTCTTGGACCTGGCTTAGCAGGGCTAATTGCCCCTTGGGGCGTGTGCAAGCCTCAAGCGCAGACTAAGTTCGATGTCAATCGATCCATGGATGCTCTGTGGCAGATGGCATTGTGAGCCGCCATAGGTTTCCAGTCTGCGCAGTGGCATCGGCTTGCACTTTCTCGAACTTTTGTATCGGCATTGTGCAGATTCCAGACGCTTGGCTACTACAGCTTGCTAGATTTTAGGTTTGTTTTTTGATGGGGCTTCAGACCTCAGAATTCCGCCAAGCATTGGAAAGCGATGTGGTTGGTGCGTTCTGTGATCGTGAAACCGGCTGCGTGGAAGCTTGATTTGCACTTTGCCTAGGAGATTGCCCGTGAGGCCCAGTGCGCTTGCTTCATTCCACCCAACACTCACCAACGAGTCTAAGACTTTAAGAGCATTGATCCATTGCTTAGAATCTTCTAAGGCTTAGAGCCATTGCTGCCATTGCTGCCATTGCTTCATGTGAGGCAAGCTTTCAGGAGCCATTGAGCCAAGAGGCACGCCTTGATTGTTCACCTGGAGTGGTTCTGTATCGTTTTGAGCTCGTCAGAATCGCCAGACTAAGGCCACGCAAGGGAAGAAACCGGTATGTGCATTGCAGGGATGGACTCAGCTTCTGCACGCATTGCTCTCAGATCTTGTCCTTCTCGCAGTGGCTTGGCTTGAATGGCAGAAACCTTTGGGGCCTTTGATTCAATGCAGAATTTATTGCTGGCCTAGCCACAGTTGTGCTTTGCCATGTGCAAGTGAAAAGTTCTTGTTCGTGGAGCATGTGGAGAATGTGGAGAATGTGAAGCATGAAGCATTGGTCCAGCATTGGTGAAACCATGTTTTTCTTCGTTTTTCTTTGTTTTTCTGACCGTCAGAGCTCGGAGCCCTTGGGTGATCAGGTCTGCTCTTTGAGCTTTCTGCAGGCACGGTTCTGCAACCTACCTTTTTTTTTGGCATTACATCATTACATGGTGCATCTTTCAAGATTGCAGTTTTCTAGAATAAGCACACAAGGCGCCAACACAACCGTAACCTACCTCTTTCATCTCTTTCATCTCTTTCATCCGTCTTTCATGTTGTGTGAAGATGTGTGAAGCTACTTCGTTCTGTCACCGTGGAACGTGCCAACGTTGGCCACCAGGAGTTAGGCATGGGCATATTCATGGGAGTATCAGCCTTGTTCTTCAAGGACAGTCGTTTTTGGGACTTTTGAGAGAGCAAGTTCGGTCAACAAAACAAGATTCAACGATGATGGAGAGAACCCCCTTTGCACCCATTTGCAGCACCAACTTCTGATGAGGACAGGTTTGATATCGATGCAAGCGAGCTGGGGCTGCTTTTTTGTGTTGCCGGTGCTGGGATGGTTGTATTTCAGGTCAGCTGCCAGGCTAATCAAGCTTTGACTCATTGAAAGTTGCATGTATTTGCATCTATTGCCGAGACACATATAACTCACGGCCCATGGATACAGGGCTTCGTCGTTGGCAAGTTTGTCAAGATTGTGGGCAGGTACGGGCCAGAATCAAATTTGCTTGTGCATTTTGCGCATTTTGCTGACTTTCACCTTGAGTTTCAGGCCCGTGAGCATCTTCCTTGGTTGGTTGCTCCGCTCTTTGGCCGAGCTTAAGTAATGCATCAATGCTTAGCAATGTGAATCAAATGCATATGACATGGTCATGGAATCAATGGAGTCGTGAGGAGTCGTGGCTGTGTTCTCACGATCCCTCACGAGATCCCACAAGCCTCCAAGGCCTGGCAATCTTCTTATCCTTGGCCTCTCTGCACTTCTCATTGCTCCCTTGGCTTGCTGTCGCCGCCTGCCTGCAGCTTCGGCTTTGACATGCTTTGACATCGAGATTGCCGATTGCCGCCTATCCGGGCACACGAAATCTACAAACATGATGTACGCCAGGAACATGCAGGGTGATATAATGACCACATGTCCACACATTGAATCCACGCATTGTATCTGCAGATCCATCCATCCATCCAGCACCCATGCCCGGAAAGATGCATACTTATCATCATAGTCATACTTTGTGTCTTCCTAGCGCTTCGGTTTGTTGGGCCCAGCTTAGGTTTGCGTTGTGGCTGGGGGTGCCTTGATTGACCCATGTGCAGCAAGCTTTGCAAGCGACAAAGCGCCACAGGCGTCAGAGGGCGCTCAGTTCCACCAGATGCAACGACAGCTGTGGCATGCTGTGGCCGTGCAATGCCGCGCGCAGGGGATGAGTGGCATTTTTCTTGGCACCTATCAGGCAGTGATCTGTGGCCAGTCTTCATTTCAAGTGGCATTGATACAGACATAGGCTGCTGATGGCTGCTGTTTACAGATTCTACAGTTTGGTGATTTCACAGGCTGCTGCTTCCATGGGCAGCTTCTTGGGCCCAGTCCTGGGAGGATTCCTTTACGAGTATACGTAGCTCGTTTGACCTTCATCTGGTGGACGATCAAACGCATTTTGTCGGGTGATGTTGGGTGTTTTCGCAGCTGAGCTGCAGCTGCAGGCAGACCGCTCCCTATTACATGGCAAGTGACGGGTCCCTAGCATGCCTGATGGAAGGACCCATGAGGATTCCTTTAGGTTCAGGCTGCGTGACTCTTTCCTGAAACGCATTGCTGCAATGCTTACAGAACTCGGAAGCCTGAGGTGGCTTCACTTCTTTGTGCTCCTTCTGTCTTAGCTCTGTTCAGGCAGCCAGCAACATCTTTTTGAGCGTGCATCGTTCGGTATATACATATATAGATAGCATCATTGAAAATGAATGGGGACCTAGCCTGGTAGCTTCTGCCATCTCAGGCTTCAAGAAGCTCTGGAGAAAGGAGCCCGAAGTTGTTTGTTCAAGTAGCGATTCTAGGGATTGTTTTCGAATTTGTTGAGTGGCGTGGTAGCTTTCGCACTGTATTCTTGTAAGTCAGTGACCTTCCCTCATCGTTCAGGACAGTCATCACCGAGTCAGCCGCTGATGGGCGACGAGGCTGGCTCCCAAACCCTGACACTTTGGACAGCATCCCACAGCATCTCACAGCCTGGCCAGGAAGAGCCCGAGCAGCCCATTGAAAGGTTACTTAGTCAGGCTGAGGCCTGGGCAACCGATCGCGACGTAACGTCGTAGCCCTCATAGCCCGTGTTGACCCTGAGAAGTTGCAGAATTGCAGAACCTGCACTTCAAAGTTCAAAGCGTCTGCGATGACAGGCATCACCAATGCGCAAGCGTGCAATTGACCGCGCCGCATATGGTCTCAGGCTGATTGCTCGTGGCATTTCTGTTTGTTTATTAATGGTTTGAAACATGATTGCAATGGAAATGAAGACTTGAAGAAAACTTAGGTCTGAGATGGTCTGAGGTGTCTGAGCCTGTATGGCCGTGTTTCGCTTTGAAGCTGTTTTGCAGGTCATTCGCTGGTGCAGGTTTGGAACTTGGCTGTTCATCGAGCTGGAATGGAAACTTTTTGTGGTTTGCAGCAGCATCAAAGCCCTAGTTTCATTTCAGTGCGACTTTCAGGCACGCTGCTCTCTCTCTTCCAGCTTCCTAACGATCCAGAGTTGACCTGTCGTACTCTGCGGCAGAAGGCGCCAAGAGTGTGTGGGTGTGTGTGGAACATCTGAACAGATGTAAAACTTCTACCTCTCTTCGTGGTGTATTTTTCAGATGCGAGTGAACTTCTTTTTCCAATTCATATCTTCTTTTCGATCAGCAGGGGGACCATCCATGTACTGTGAGCGATGGTCCAACCAAGCGGCTACAGTACATGCGGATATCACGGCTGATCATTGCTGATCACGATGTTTTATTTCTGCAATGGCGAGGCGCTAAGCGGAGAACCCCAACCTGAATCTATCTATTATTTCCCTTCGTCATGGCCAAAGGCTAAGCCCAGAACCCTGCTACGACTATTTATTTGGTTTTTTTGCATCAGTTTTCCAAGATTGTCTCGATTTTGCAGTGTTTCCACAATCTGTTTCTTGGGATATTTCATCAAGATTCTGGTCGTGATCTTATTTATCGATGGTATTCTTTTCTGGGGTCTATTTGGGCCAGTTTCTGATCGTGATTGACTTTATCGGAATTCCTTCATATTAACCATATACCGCTTCGAGGAGATCTACCCTAGGTCTTTTTATCTTGTCTAATTGCACGTTATGGGATTCAGATCCCAACGGATCACTATGATCCAGTTTTTGTCTGGCACCTCGCTTGTTGCATCATGTTGTCAGTTGTTGTTCACATCCACCAAGGATTTTGTTATTGTCATTGTTGCCCTGCCAGGACCGGATCACAGATGAAAGGCTAGAATGGAAAGTCCGCTCCAAGACGGAGGTGTTCTCTCCATCCAAGCTTGCAAGGTGCCAGAGGGTTTTTTTGATGGTCAGACATTTTCACATTCTCCAGCTGACAGGTCCAACACTTTGGAAAGGATGCTGCTTAGGCAATATTCGATGCAAGCAAGTGACAAGTGCTGTGCTCAGCATTGA